TGCTGTGCCGTAAGGCTCTTCAGGCAATTTGGTGTTTTGTGTCTGAGCAGGCATGATGAAAGCAGCTCTGAGCTAGTCTCTTTAAGGGTCTTTAAATCTACAGTTAAATGGTGTATGTCTTGCCTTTTAACTATATGGGCCTTCATTTCAGGATTTGAGTTCAAAACTGGAGACCGTTTCATTCTTTCTCTGTGACACTCACTGCAGTTCCCCCTCCACCCACCCTCCCTCATATTTAATTTTATAGTTCTTTCAGACATAAACATGAAAAAAAAGCAATTTTGACTTAGTTTCTGAGTGTTGCTGCAAAGAAAAGTAACAAACATCTGTTTTTACCTTAACTGCATCCATATGTTCAACCTCCCCATCACCCTCCTTCCCAAAAAATTTACAGCCGTATTTGGTGGGTACTGCATACTGTTGAATTAACTTTCTTCACAGTTAGATTAGAGGGTAAGTTCAGAGACTGAAAATATCTGTACTAAGCAGTGGCCAAAAGTGACATTATAGCTAAGCCAAGTTTTAAAGTTTTTCACTCTTCCTCTTTTAATTTACTTCCCTATTGCCCTTCTCCCCTTCCCACCCCCCAAGAAAAGAGGAGATGAGCCAGGAGACTTTTTTAGGAACAGGTTATTGTGGTAATCGGATAAATGTTGTGAAATTTGCTTATGGCTTTCTTACATATAAATTAATCAACATTTGAAATACCATGTTTATCATGTAAGTATGTGGTTTGAGATGCATACTGTGTGGATTATTGTAAAGGGTTAGTTACCTCGTTTCATTTTATTACTTCTTGTTGTAGCATCTGGAACAATTGTGGCTTTACCAAAGTTTTGTTTTTGTAGAGGATTAACAAGAAGGCGGCTATTTTACTGAGATATTTGAGAAGCAGTGAAACAAAATGTTGAATGATACTGTATTTTACTTTGTGGTATGCAGCATGCTTTCAGAGATAAAAGTTTGTGGAACTAAAGATATCTTTCAAACAAAGGTTATTCCTTCCCAGTTATATAGTGCCTTTAATAGATGTGAAACTAGTTGTGCAAATTTCCCAAATATTTCTACCTACAATAACCTAAATGGTTGTATGCTCCAGAGGGATTCGGCAATGTGAGAACACATGCCCTTCCTCTGCCGCTAGAAGCAGCTGGCTGTCTCTTAGTAATACTGACTAATGCTAGTAATACATTTTTCAAAAAAATTAAGTTAGAAGCTGGGCTATAATTTGTTAGAAAGTGAGTTGATGACTTTTTGACTGATGGTCATTTTACTGTATATTCTCAGGTAAGTAGAGGTCGTTTTCTACAAAGGAGATATTAATTATTTCTCTGAGGAAAAGATTCCCTGCTCCTAGCTGATTTTCTTTGACAAGTTGAACAAAAGTCTGAGTGACATCTGGTGGCTAAAATGCCCTGTATTTCTCTTTCTATTGTTATGTAAATTGAGAGAATGGGGATTGATTCTGGCTCCACCATCCCATGTTTCTGCTGACAGAGGGAGGTCATCTTGCATCCTTCTGTATGTGATCCTTCTGACTGAGACATCATCAGAACATGGAGTTGACATCTGGATTGACTTTGAATACAATCTGGGAAAACAAAGGAATCGTTTGGGGTTGCTAGTACACTCTTTTGGTCATAATTAAGAAATGTTGAAGCTAAATAAAGAAATCTTTACTTTTTTTCCTCGGTAATTAAAATGAATGCAAACTGTTTTTATACTGAAGTCTAGGCACTGTGTCTAGACACAATTGTCCAAGTGTCATTGCCTTTACTCAACAGTTTTTCAAATTCCTTTTGTATCTCTGAAGATGTCAGTAAAGAGGATGTACAGATACCAATATCTGTGCCTTTACTCTGTGTACAGTTTTGGTGTTTTATGAAACCTTGTTACCTGTGGTAGGACATGATCTGAATATAGATTTTTCCCGGTTCTGTTGGTTAAAAGGGAAAGATTGTATCAGGGGGCTATTGTAATCCTGGAAATGTAGGCTCTCGTATTTTTTGGAAGGACCAGATGGAACCTAATGAGTCTAAAAGACGTGTTTGTGCTGGAACGGTAAATCCCAAACTCAAGCTAGATCATAAACATGGATGTAGAATCTGTCTGTTAAAGACTGAAAATGGAGAATTTGTGGTCCTCTAAGGCAGGCTTTGGCAAAATCATTGTCCCATTGGTCAGCAGTTTCACCAGTTCTGATAGAACACTGTGAAAACAGGCAGTGGCTATCTACTTGCGGGTTGAGTAGAATATTTTATACTTGGTTTTAATGTCCCAGAGGGATTATTTTCTGCACTGATGGTGGGTGTGAGACAAATAGCTGTTCTGCTGCTGCTGTTGTGTGGTCTAGGAGTGTGATAATGATGAGCATCATGTATGTGAGTAAGCAGTGGAATCGTAACTGTGTGTCTTCCAGTTTTTATGTTGCTGGAAGGTAGTGAGTTCCTCTAAGATCTGGACTGTGGAAAATAGCATTCTGACTGCTGATCTTTCATTGATTAAAGCAATTACAACATCTGATTTTTGTTCTACATCAGTTTGGGCCCTTGTTCTAATGAATGTATTTGAAGTATTTGAAATGCTCTGCAACAATATGTGGTATTTTGTGTTTAATTTTCCCTTTCTTAATACTGGTGCTAGGTAAGAGAGTATAGATGTAGAGGTAGCATTGGGAATTAAAGGACATACCAGATTTCATAGGTAAGACAAAATTCTGACTCCATTTAAATGATGAACGTGGGCTATTTGGGAATGGAAGTTTCTATATTGATCATAAGTCAATATACAAGGAAGTTAACAAATCTGAATCTTATTATTGCCTCATTTTATCTATTCTATTTTCAGCTCTAAAAGAAATGTGTGGGAGTTGGGCTTCAAGAATATTGTATTCATTTTGAATAATATATTGGGTATATATTTTATAGGAAATAAATAGTCAATCCTATAGACTGTAGATTTGCCCTAAAGATTTTAACAAGCACAGAATAACTGACATCCAGTACTGTCTGCATTCTGCTCCTCCTATGTTCTTCTGGTTCCGCTCTCAATACAACACAGATTCCCATTTGCTAGTAAAGATATTCCACTCAATCTGCAAGTAAATGTAGGCAAATCTTTTTAATCTGGATGTTTTGAAACAAACAGCTTTTTGTGGAGAGGGTAGAGCTGCTGACCAGTATGCTGTTGCTTTGTTAATGCCTCATGTCTTAAGGGACATCAAATTCTATGCCCTTGTGATTCTCCTGATATCTTAAGTCACAAAACCCAGATTTGCATTTTAATGTAGCATGTCTCATCACTAGGAAGGGAACTCTGACGGTCTTACTGAGCTTTAGTGTTTCACAAATCTGATACTGCTGTTCCTCAGAAATACTTGTTGAATCACAGTGGTTTTATGTCAGATTTCAGCCAGCTTTTTGATAAACTTACTTATTCACGAGTTCTTTGAAGATTGAGGTGCTTCCCAGAGTAGGCAGGAGTGTTAGAATCTGTCCATAGAGTAATTACAAATCCTGTTGTGGTGAGTTCAGATGTTTCAAAAGCCCTGCCAAATATAATAAGGTCAAGTGTTTTGGATGGCATGTTTCCTATCAGAGGATGATTATTTTTGATGATCTCAAGGCCTCAGGTGCATTCTACTTTTGGTTTTGTTATTTCTGTAACAGGAAAACATTGCATGTCCTAGTAATAGTCTTTATTATGACCTAAAAATAATTGTTCGTAAGAGTAAGATCAGCATAAGTGTTATTCCATTGTCTCAAAAATTTTAATGGATAGCTAAAATAGAGATATAAGTGTAAGGAGCCTCAGGGTATGTTGAACCATGAAAAAGAAGAATCTCTGAGAGAAAAACATGGTGTTCTAATAGCTAAAAAGTGGCTAGTGGTTTTGTGTTTTAGCATTCAAGCGTCCCATTTAAAACACTTTTTTTGAAGGGCCTGATTTTCAGGACTTCTTTTGAAAGTAGAACTTGCTAATGCCTCACGTTTGGTACTCAGCATTGCTAGACACTTTTGAGAATGTAGGGCTCAATGCACCATGCAACAGAGAAACTAAAGTATTGGCCCATATGCAATCTGTTAGCCCACAGCAAATACAAGGTAATTTTACTTAGTTTAGCTTACAATGAAAGAGATTTAATGATTTAAGATTTTCTGTAGTATTAGCCTGTTTCTGTGGATAGTGCAGGGGCCTGGCTGACAAGAAATAACTTGTTGAATTTGGGCTGCTTGATTTTATCTTTAATCTAGTGGGCCAACAAGTGGCAACATGGAAAACTAGTTGGACATGCCTAAGGAAGAGCTATAAGTTCATACATTTCAGAATAATTATTTTTAAGAAATGACTGAGCATGAGATGGTATTTTCATGTGTGCTCTATGAAGAAAGTGATGAAGCATGTTGTTGAAGATACAGAGAAACTTTTTTAAAAATGTATTGCATTATATCTTCACATTCTTCTTTAGCTGCATTTAATATTAGTCTTGCTGTTGGTAGTTCAATGCATCCTGAAGTTGTTTGCTCTTTTTGAATAAAAATAAAAATAAGAAAAAAGCTGGGTGTCATTTTCATTGTAGTTATTGCTGTGAAACTAAGCAATGGAGTTTAAATAGAAAGTAGAACACTTAATACCTATAGAAACTTTAAAAATTAACTTTTGTTTCTGAGTTATGATACAAACAGGATAAACCAGTGTTAGAAAGGAAAAATGGAGCCAATAAGGAGGGTTTCTGATTATAATAGCTTGTTTCTGTTTAATATCATTGAGCAGGATGAGGTTTTGCAGAGTTTCTCATGGAAATAGCATCCACAGTACTAAAATGATTACCTCATTCTTAGTACCAGTGCCAAGCACTTAGCCCCACAGTGAACACACGGGGTTGATTTTCAACATGAAACAAGCCAGAAGTGTGGAATGACATTTTCAGGTGACAGTTACGGTTCTATTGCCTGTAATTAGCACCTCTTAACATGCAAACCTGCCTGTGCCTTTTCCAGGCTGTTGAAGCTCAAATACGAAGTTTTGGACAGACCCCTTCCCAACTGCTCATAGAACCACATCCTCCAAGAAGTTCTGCCATGCAGGTGGTAAGTACCATGTTAACTCTTTGTGACCTGCCATTTTGTTCACTTCCTTTGCTATCTTAAAGTCACAGAACCGGCCACTTCTCTCTGCTTTTATGTGGTTGTGGCATTGTGTTATTAAAAACAGCAGATGAGTTATGATTTTGTAGGACTAGGAGTGTATGCAGTGCTTAACTATTATTTTATTTATTGCTGAAAGGACTGTATTGATTTCTAGTACAGACCTTTTTTTGTCAGTGTGATCTAAGAACACTTCATCAGTTGATTTTGTTAATACCATACCTGTACAGGTGAGAGCCAGTCATCATGGAGACAATTTAGTTAATCTTTGGCAGATTCCCCAAGAAGCATGGATTTAGGAGGTGGAACTTCCTTGTCTTTTCCCCCAGGCATAGGTTTTCCCCTAAAACCAGGATTACTAGGAATTCATGAGCTGAAACTTACATAGCAAAGAATGTGACTAAATGTGTTTTGCAGTAAAGCTAGGGTGATAAAATCCAGGCAGTGAGCATTAACATGCTTTCCCTTTTACCTCTACTTGTGTCTAATATAATTTTATTATACAAACTATTATTTTATTACTGATTACTTTCCATATCGTGTTGTGTGCAGTCCTTGGGTCTAAAAGATCATTTGTGTTGTCATAGATCCAGAACTAAGTATGTGAAGTGATACTCTGAGAAGTGGAGCAAATGGTCTGCTAATTCACAAGTTTTTCAAAAGGTTACATTCCCTTATTGTTAAGATGGACATTTTACACAGAAATATAAAAAAAGACATTTTCTTGTTGTACGTTCTGTAAGACGTATGTCCTACTCGAGCAGACTAAGGTTATTAGATTAAAAACATATATGAAATGCAAAAGGTTTTAGAAAAATTACACCAAAAATCTGAAACGTTTCCAAAGTAGCTTACAAACTTTGTGATTTAGGAGTCTAAGAAATGCAAACTTTCTTGTCAAATTGAGCTCCTAGCCTTTCTCAAATATGTCATGTGTTGTACATGAGACTTGCTCAGCTCACTCTCCCCCATCCCCACCACCCTTTCTGCAGCCAGTACATAACTACACTTTGACAGCTGTGCTGTAGACATGCTCCTGCCCTGGGATCCTGTGTACTGGATAGACAGAGCTGATTGTGCTGATTTGTGGTCTGCTGGCCCATTACACCTCCCAGGTAGTGTCCCAGGGCTGCAGACCACTGCAGTGACTTGTGTGTGTAACCCACAGGGCTTTCTTTTTCAGAAGAGCCCTGTTAGCAGGTATGTTGGGGAGCCCAAGTGCCCTCATCATGCAGCTACACGCCATATGTGTGTCCGTCTGTCATGGTGCCATGCACTAGAAACTTGCCCTAATTTAGAGGGATTTGTTTCAGGAAGAGGAGGAACCTGAGAAGTTGATTGTTGATGTGTTTGTCAGACCCATTGTTATATAAATAAATTTGATGCCAGGAAGCAGTTTGTGTGGTTTTGTCATAATATTTTTCATGATGCTGAATTAGTAAAGATTTAGTATGTAATGGAAGAAGTTAAATTCTATGAAGTTAACTGTTTCTAACTCCTGTGGTTTTTTTGGGCTGAGGTACACACAGAAAAAAACCCTTAGTTCTCCACTTGCTTTGACCAGTTTTGTGGTTATTAATACATGATTGTATAATAGCACTATATTAAGTGGTTTTAAAAGTAGTATTCCTGGAGCTGAAATACAGTAAGGATGTTTCTCCTGTCACAATTTTGGATTATTTCTAGTTGTATTATTTACTGAGTTTTCTGTTTTCGTGTGTGTGTGTGCATGTATGCACGAATACCGCCGAATTGAAAGCTACCACGTGCTGTGTTAAGCGCACAAGCCATAATATACACCAGGTGTAGTAATTAGCAGTCACACGAAGTCTGCCTATTTGTCTGGTTTTGCTGCTGTTGCTGTATCCCCTTGTGTTTTCAACCATCAGATAGCAGGATTTAATTGAGGCCACATCAGATGAGGCATTACTGACACCTTTAATTGAATGAGCATCCAGGGAGGATTAACTCATAATATTGATTGGCTTTTAGCCACTTGCTCAGAAGGGTGTCTGGGTAGCTTATTAGTTGCTTTTATTTACACCTTTATGCAAAGACTGTAAATAGGAATTCATAGAGCAATATGTTTTTCTAAGTACTCCTAATAACTTTTTAAAAAGGAGTGATAATAAAAATGCAAATGTATTTAATTTTTTTATTAGTTCTGTATAAATATACATTAAATGTATGCACTTACATACACATATATGTAATGAAATATTGCAGGTGGAAAATAGCCAAGAACACTTCATTAGTGTTCTAATTCAGTTATTAGAAAATTACAAATACTAGAGCAACATGGCTACTGGTGACTAGGATGGTTGTATTTCTACATCTCAAGGGATTTCTCTTTTTTAGGTACACCGCACAATCACAAACCCATTAAGTTTTGCTTTTCCTCCTTATGCTTGGTATCTGGATCTAAGGTCCTCAATATTTTGTTTTGACATTTGCAGTATTGTAGAGAGCTTAGTTAAAAAGTTATTAAACTTTTCAACTTGCTAAATTGAAAAACTAAAACCTAAAAATATTATGCTGAAAATGAGAGTCTGGATTCATTCCCTCCCTCTAGTATTTCTAGAAAGAACTCAGGATAGTGTCTGTAATCACGTCCACTTTATATTCTTCACAACTGCATTTAATTACGTTTGTCCTTTGAAACACATTTGCAGTGAAGTCTTCTACTTTGCATTCATAAATCTTATTTTTGTACACCAGAAATATATACAGAACATATATCTAACGTATGTGTGTATCTGTTTATTTTAATGTGCTTTCATGTTCTCATCTGGCTTGTAAAGAATTGCAGTCTGCCAATTTAATGCAACTTGAGACAATCTCTGGGAGCAGGAATTTCTTTTGCTTACTTTTTTTTTTTTTTTTGTTCCCTCCTAGTTTGGCATGCTTTCCTTGACATACTATCTCTGCAGATATGAAGGAGAATTCTTTTGGCAGAGATAGGTGATTGGAAACTTTCAGTTTAATCTGCTGTGATCTGTAGCGAAGTGTGTATACAGACACCCTGTGTTCAACGAGGCCCTCAAATTAATAGTGTACATGAAGGTTTTTCTACCTAAAATGGTTGTTTCCACAAGCCTGTCCACTATTACTACATTTGCTTTTTACTGCAGCTGCTTTTGGATCTTGCGTGTTTTAATCCAGTCTTCCTTCTCTTGTCCTGTCTTCTTTTCTCTTCCCCATGTTTTCTTTTCCCGTGTATTTGGGTTCTTGTTGTGTGCACTCAACAGTATCTCCTCCTGCAGAGTCCGTTGATGTTCACAGACCAAGCTCAACAGGGCGTTATCATGGTTCTAAAGTTCCCATCCAACTCTCCTGTCACTCATGTAGCAGCCAACACCCAGCCTGGTCTGGCCACTCCTGCTGTAATCACAGTTACTGCAAATAGGCTATTTGCTGTAAACAAGTGGCATAATCTTCCTGGTAAGTAAATTGAAGTAAGTACCTTAAGAAACCATTGCCATCAAGCAGTACTTCTGTTGTCTGTTTCAAAATTTGTTGCAGAACTGTTTTAAATTTAAAGTGTGAAGAGCAAGTCCAGTTCACTAACACAGTGTGCTCTTCACATGTGGACTTAGTTTCTCCTTAAAAAGGTAATCTGACCTATTGTGTAGTAAGAACGTGTAGCACACAGAAGGTTTGTAACAACAGTATATTGCTTTCCAGGCCATCAGGCACTATGCAAGAAGACAAAAAGTGTATCACTATCTGATTGATAGTGTGACACTCTTCCTCTTGAATTTGTTTTTCAGTCGGATGGAAGCCTGAACCATATCATGTCAAAGACAAGTTTTAAAGCATGTAGAACTTCCCTGAAATTTTTTCTGCTATCTTTTTCTGGTTGATTATGAACACCATATTCTGATGTTTTGCCACTCAATGAGTATTAGAAGATCAAACATATTTGAAGTCTCTGTCTTCTGTAACTTAACCATCCCAGAGTTATTAGGTGCTTATGTATTTGTCAATATGAAAGGAAAACAACATATCCATTTGCATAGCAACCAATCAAATTAATTTTCCTTTAAAAATGTGTTGGACTTGAGAATATAGTAATTCTGTTTTCAAGTCTCATGTTCACTAATCTTAAATGCACTCATCCTCCTTTCCCTGACTATGACAGTCTCAGGCCCAAGCTGTGAAAGGTAGTTTATTTCAGTGCTATACAGTAAATCTGGTCAAAGGTTTTCCAAGGAAGGGAAAAAAGAGCTTCTACTCAAATAACTTAAATAGAAGATATTTGCACGAGAGTAATACTTGCATCACTGAAATTCCTACTAAGAAATCTGGACCCATGGTCCTTGATTACATTTTGAAAAAAGCCAGATGACTCCCACACTTTTTCCTAATTCTTACAAATTACCTCTCAAAATTGTACAAATAGAAACATCTATGTATTATTTCACCCACCCAAGAAATGCTTGAAAAGGAGGGTGGGAAGGAAGGGGGGAAGGGAGGCTTGTCTAGATAACAAGTTGTGAGCAAGAACTATTTACAGGGCTCTTGACATTTGTTTGAAAGGAGAATGGCAATATCCTCTCATACCTTGGATGTGTGACCTTGGGCGTATAATATTCAAGGCTGTTAAAAACTAGCCTTTGTGGACATACAACAGTCATGGGAAAAGAAGAGGTTCTAAAGTGGTAGGATTTGCTTTTGATTTCCTCGTAAGTCTGCTAGTTGATGATCTGCGAGGAAGCAACCAATTGTTGTGTGTAGTAATCAACTGTTTGAAGTCAAACAAACCTTTCAGATTTTGCTTTTTCCCTCACCTCTGAAAGGGAGGACAGTGAGCTGTGCTTTTGAGTCACTATTTTTTCATTTAGAGGCATTTTACACTTGTCTTGCCTTTACAAAGAGCTCAAGAAAACCTACAGTTAAGACAAGCAAAAGCCAACCAAACAAAACCAAAACCCAACAAAAATCCACCGCCTCACCTCTTTGAGAGCATGCTGACCAGCTGCAGGCTGTTAATGGAGTACTATGCTTAAGATATCTGGGTATGGACTCCTGAGACTGGCCTTCACTATTGTTGCCTTCAAATTTTATACCAAAATGGGATCTGCTAGGATTAGAGGGCAGGTGTCATTACTGCTCCATATCTCCTGCTGTGGGCTTAGCATTGTCTTTGCTAATGAGGCATCATGGTAAAAAAGTTGCCAAGTGACCAGTTGTCTCTGATG